CGGCCTCAAGAGCATGGGCTCGGCCCTTGGACTTGCGCTTCACGCTGCTTGCAAATCCGCAAACCATGGCTGCAAAATAAAAACAGGGGTCAACACAAGGTTAGAGGAGAAAGGGGGGAGGCAAGCTCGGCATACCAAGTTCGGAGTTCGGCCTTGAGGATTCGGTGGGACGAACTGCACGGTTGTAATCTAGCAGCCCGGACTCAAGCAGCAGCTCGTCGGTCACCAGAGTTCCGACCTTCCTACCCCTCAGAAAGCGCTCCTTGTAATATTTCAACGTGTCGAAGGAGGCTTGCGTAAGCTCGGAGACTGGTCGGATTGAAACTGCACGAAGACAAAATCTAAGTTAGACCTGAATGACAGAAAAGAAAATTACAAAAAAGCAAGAACTACTCCGTACCTAGGTTCCCAAACCTAGTGGGGACGTCAAAGAAGGAACGACCTGACTCGTCCTTTGCGAGCCATTCCCCAGAAGCGTAGAACCACTTCCTCACCCATCCCTTGATGGAGGTCGGCCCCTTAACTATACCGCATGCGCCTTTCCTTGCGCACATATAGAACCGACCAGGCTTCTTAGCTATCCTTTTCGCTTCGAAGCACGCGAGGAGCTGGTCTACGTCCAACAGCTCGGCCTCCTCACTATCCCGAGCTCGTAGCCAAAAAAGGATGGCCAAAGCGAAAATGACACCCCACCCATTGGGGGCCACTTGAGCCGGAGCCAACCCAGTCCGGAAGATAAATTCTTGGACAAAAGGGTGAAGGGGAAGTCTGAGGCCGTACTCAAATATTTTGAAGTAGAAAGTGACACATCCCTCTGGAGGATTGTCTCTCTCCCCCTCTTCCGGAATCCTGAGGAGGATGTTCTCAGGGATAGCGAACCCCCTACGAAGGGATCCAAGGTAGTGCTCGGGTATCCTAGAAGGGTATTCCAAACCCTGACCTGAGGTGGAGGCATCACTATCCTCCCCGTCATCGGAGAGTCTAAAGTTTTCTATCTCCTCGAGCTCGGACTCTAACCTATGAGCTAAATCCTCATCGGATCCTAAGTTGCTGCTAAAAGAGGACGACATGGCAACTACGTTCGAAAGAGAAAGTGAGGGAAGAGACCGACCTACCAAGGGTTCGAGCTGCCTTCAGATCGAACTCCAAGAATTCAGGGAACGTAAGGTATGACCTGAAGGATTGGGGGCATTTATAGCCCATCGGAAAAATTTCCCCACCGTACACGTGTAATCAACGAGCGGCTAGGATCCTCCCTGAGATCCGAAGCATCGGAATATTTGAATATTCCGACGATAAATCTACCGCAACGGTTATATTTTCCCACGAATAGGAAGTCGCCACGCGTCCAAAGCGAATCGAATGAACTTCTCTGCCAGGTYGAGATCGGACCAGACAGAGAGGGGGCCAATGTTTGGGGAAGAGAATACCCTGGACACGTGGAGGACCCCTATTGGTGCTTCAAGATGACTCATGAGCCATGCCCAGCTCGGACGGCCGAGATCACCACTACTGGCGTTGACAGATGCTAAGTATGAGGGCCGAGGTGAATCTGGCCGAGGTCCGACCTACCGAGAAGCTCGGTGGGGGCCGAGGCGAACTACTGTCAGCGGCGTGATTATCGGGCATAATCGTCGGTCCCGAGATTATCGGGTGTAACCGACGATCCTTAGATTACCGGGTGTATCAGTTGCGAGATTGGCGGGACTACCACCCATAAGTAGAGGACTTCACTCCACGATCAGGGACGATGATTTCTGACCTCGAACTAAACTGGGAATCCGACCTATACTGACTTGATCGTCGGAGTGCTCACCTTTTTGTGCAGGTCAGCCCAAGTATTCAGATCGGTCCGGAGGCCGAGTTCGAGCTGCAATCAGAAATACACTGTTGTGCATATCCTTGCATAAACAAAATGTAATAGTAAATGTTTTGATTTAACTTAAATTAATTCAATAACTATAACATTTAATTATTTTAATTTTTTAATATCAAAAGTTTTGGAATTACATGAGTTAATACTCTTTCATTTTCTACCACTAAATAACTCCTTTTTTATCGAGCTATATATATATATATATTTTTCTCTCTCTCTTTAGGTACTAAATCTATCATTTGCACCTTCAAAATATTATCATCAATTAGCTAGTGGAATTTTCTATTTACCTTCAACCCAACTGTTACCATCAACATTTTAATACTACAATTTGCCAGCACCCCATTAAATGTTAAGTTTCATGTTCTTATATTTCTCGAATGTAACATTTTTTTTTCATGTCTATACATTGGGTAGAAAATTTCAATACAGACGTAAGTTGATTTGGGAATTGATTCCATTGCTCTTTATAATGTTTTGCTTAATTGAGAAGTTTGAGAACAAAAAAACTAAGCAAAGATCAACCATGGTTTATGCAAGAAAAATAAATAACAACATATTATTATTGTCCATTAGAGAAAAAAAATTGTGTTTATTATTTATTTTTTCTTAAAAATATTGAAGAAAAAAAACAATTAATATTTTTCAGGGTCATTTAATCCAACTCCAAGTGTTGTTGGATGAAATATGCCAACTCAAACCTATCTATCTCAATGAAACAAAATGCAAATCTATTTAAATGCAAATTTAAAACATATATTTGCTGCCCTGTTGAAAATGATATATCAATTTTTTTATTTTTAGAAGAGATATATCAGTTTTACTTAGATAATGGTTTAATTATGACACATTTAATTAAATTTATCCAACTTTATTTCCTATATACTAAAATAAAACAAAAAATACCGCATGTGTTTCTTGCAAGTTTGTTAAAACTTATTCATAAAATAACCAACTTCCTAGATTTAGAACCTACAAATAAATGTGCAATTTCCAAGATTATAGCTTCAATATTTTGAAAAACATGCCTACTAATTTCATTATTAAAAAGCGAAAACGACATAGGTCAAGAGTAATTGATACATATCTCCAATCAAGAGGCTGTAAATTCGATCCCCACCCCCACATGTTGTACTAAAAAATATTTCATTATTAAAAAAGATGCCTCAAGGGAGCATCACTCTTGAGCGAGACATCATATAAAAATGAGTCAGTTTCAAAAAGTAGCGTAAATAAATAACAATAATAATAATAATAGAAATTTGTAAAAGTAGCCATTTGTAAAAATAACAAAATTTGAAGGCTAACACATACGGAATAAAACAAAAGTCTAATATACTCTTGATAAACACATAATCCAAACAATAATAATATAGTTGATATCCAAACAATAATAATATAGTTGATATATCAATGATATATTTGATTTGATATATCTTATTATGAATATTGATATACCTGATACGAATGTTGATGTATATCATTTGATATATCAATGATATACATGATATATTACTTGACTTTACTATTTCCAAATTCTCTTATTAAATTGTGTTGTTTACATATTTTGAATGAAATGTTTGCCCTTTATAACCTAAATGCCCATCTTTAATACCTAATGCTACATACCATCGAATACTTGAATTGTTATATTACTAAAAGAATCAATAACATCGATACAGTGTACTAATTGAATGTTGATATACCAATGATGCATCTGATTATATCTAATTTGATATATCATTGAATCATTGATATCTTTGGAAATCTAGAAGAGCGAAATTGTAATAACTAAAAAACCGAAAATCAGGTTTCAAATATTTTTCATATTTACAAAACCAAAAATTGACAAATATTTTAGCTACACATTACAAATCTCCTATAAAATTTGTATCTACATTTTTTGCCTTTTAATTTGTGTGGTTGACGCTTAAACTCCATAGATTTATTGGGAATAAGTGCATATCGCACATTAAACAAGGTTAACTTAGCTTAAAAATGTCTATAATCTGTCTCATGGATGTCATCTAACAAGAACCAAATACAGGTACAACATGAAGAACAAAGTGGATACACAAAGTGGATTGGTATCGACACAACTATTAGCCTCTAATAAGCTCAAAAATGGTATGTTACCTGTTCTAAACATCAATTTATAGTGGAAGAATGTAAAATTGGTTGATAGTGATACAATACAATACAATGGAGATAAATTTGTACCTGACTTAGGTAGCTGCTTCTATATCGTATCCGTTCCCGATATGACCAGCATTTTTTGCTTCTTGTTCGAGTACTCCTAAGACTTCAAAGAATCGACGTCTCGAAGTAGGAAGCCGTGACAATGTCAAACAAAAGCCTTGCAGCCTATAAGAACAATATCATCATCCATCTATCTTTTTAAGCAGAAGAGAGAATTGATAAGAAGAAAGCATAAGGTGTACATGGAAAAGAAGTAAAGAAAAATGTAAGTAAATATAAACATTATCAAATGAGTGCTATCGAACTAAGAATTCCAATCACAACATAAAAGAATTGAGAGTCGTAATACCTTCTACTTATACCCTCTAGTTGCGCCCTTCGTATTTCGTCGGGAGAAGGTACGCCACCGTTCTCCCAGGATTCGATTCTTTTCGTGTCACCACTGTATAAGCAGAACTTGTACAAGTATAACTGCTCATTTTCCTGTAAATTTAGACGCCTGATTTGCTCTTTCATGATGGACATTGGCTCATAGAGCCAGTCGAAGATTCGTCCTTCCGGTCGATTCACATGGGTTATCTCAACGTCATCACCTGATGTAAAATGAAAAGTAGTGAATATAATGAACAAAAAATAAAACCACCGGAGAAAGTTTAGCAATCATCATCTTGCGATTACGAAAAAATGAAATGAAAAGGGTTAATATCACAAAGATGCTAATTGTGGCTCCTTCACGAATGCAGTCTAGCTAATCTATGTGCTTCATTCATTCATTTGGACCGAAAGAAGACTCGAGCAACATCTAACTAGTAGGAAAATATCCAGAAAACGGGGTAGTGACGCTTCCATCGCTTATATTAAGGACATGGGGTGCACTAGTACTGATACGATCAGAATCATCCCTCCATCAAGATGACATAAAACAAAGACCGTACCAGTTCCATCTGTAATCTTTTAAATAAATTCGAATTTTTTTCCACATAATAACATCGACTTACAGCCATCACACTACTATGATTGTGATGTGAGCAGTTTAAACTTCTTTAATTATAAAGTGAAAAGGAAAATGCACTATGGTACTAAAGAAAAAATTCTTACGCATGAGGAAACCAACAGAACCACGCTTGATTGAACGAAGAAAACATTGAAGGAATACATGAGAAGGAATTCCGACATTAACTATCTTGTTTTTTGCGTGACGCCAAGCTTCGAGATCAGCAAGCCCAATTGCTTCATCTCTAATGAGCTCTTTCCCAATATCTACACATGCCTTGAAAAAGCTATCCCAAATCTGATGATAAATGAAATAGCCAAAATGCATCAATATTTTTTACACATTAATTTCATAATGAATGAGTTAGCCACAAGATCCAAGGAATCATATATAAATATAAAGGGCAACGGCAGTCTACCTCCATCTGACTAGAGAAAGAAGAAAGCAAGCGAAAAGTGTGGGAACTGATAGGCCACTTGTTAAGTATGCATATACACAAAGAGCTAGGAAGAGGACTTGTGGGAATTATGGATGGTCGTGGGACAGGAGACTCGTTGAACAAGAAAGTAAGAGAGTGAGATCGGGTATGTGCATGTATAAAACAAATTACAAGATAGGCAGATTTCGAGTGGTGTTTTGGAGAGAAAAGAAACTCTCAAACTCTCATAAGCTACACTTCCTTGGCTTACATAACGAACTTCATGTTTGATCAATATATTAACTAACCCAAATCAAAATACTTTGTCTTACCACTACTGCCTTCACCGCACTCTTCTGCTCAGCTGTAGTCATTATCAATGGTTCTCTAGTATGAATAGCTTGAAGATGTTCGTGAAGTCCTTTCCCAGGGACCAGCAATGAACTTGAATCCATCTTCTCGCGATATTTAGGTCTGCAAACCGAAGTGAATGAAGGATGCTGAATGATTTATCAATCATAATGCGTCACATAAGCGAACAAATCAGTGTCTGCAATTATCTAAGAATTGCAATCAGTAAAATTATGTACCGGGGGAAACACGAGCCTTCTCGCAAGTACAGTAAATCGTTGGTGTACTCATCAAACAAAGAAATAGATGCAATGACATAAAGCAATCCTCTCTTGAGGGAATTTTCCTAATAACATTGGGTGAAAGGGTTTAGACAAACTTGAAATGAACAAGATTTTATTATCCATAAAAGTTTTATGACCAAAAACACATAACTCCATACCTGAAATGCAACAACGGCAGCATAACAACCAAAGCCGATGATTGAGGTTATACCAGCAAAAGATGCCAATAAAACAACAAAAGGCCATAGCAATATCCAGAGTCCAGCAAAAGGAACACAAACTGTCTCTAGAAAAGGGCCCTCCCTTCCTACAAGGTCTTGTATTAGCCGGTGCCACCCCTTGACCAGCATAATTGGAGCTTTGTACAGAACAAGTAAAGGGATAATAGGAAAATCAACTACAATTCCAACAATTGCGACCAAAACACAACCAGCTACTTCGTAAACCCTACAAAATACAAATAAATAAATAAAGAACATATATATTTATATTTGTAATAAACCGAGGAAAATCATGTAGTTTATATAAGAAAAAAACTGTAATTAGAAAAATGCTGTGACATTCAAATATGCCAAGTTGCTCTATTGAAGGATATGAGACAAATGTTTCCTTAAGGAATTTTGAAGTCGGGGATCCATCTTTTTTAAGAAGTGGCACATAATACATTTGTTTTGTCTAGAGACAATTAATTACTTATACAATGTGATAATGATTTAAAAGTCACTCAGATTGCTTAAACATCATTTAAGAAATTTGATGTTATATGTATTAATCACAGGAGAAATCAATGAGTTTAGAAACAATAAAGTTCTCAATTGTAACTTTCACTTTCATTAAATATGTTGCCAGAAGCTCAGAGGAATTACGGTTAGCTTATGTCCCTTACTTTTCAACTTTG